ATAACAGCATTTTCATACCCAGTCTCTTTGACTATACATTAGTCTTATGAAATCTCCTTCAAAAGAGTATCTAGTTAAGGATGCTGCTAATGTCTGCAGTTTCCTTTTATGCACTCAAGCGGAAATTGAATGAGTCCCTTACAGCGACAAGTTCGAGGAGGGAGACAGAGGGACCTGCTGACAGCAGCAAAGATCCAAAAAGAAACGTTAAGTTCTGAAGAGGAGTGCGAGATCAAGACTTCAGACTATCACAACATAAGATGAAACAAAAGTTTGATATTACAGGATGGAAAAGTGAAGGCAGCAAACTGTAGGCTTAACATTCGTTTCCGGTTTGATGCTCCACTTTCAGAGCTGCAGTGAGTCACATGGCCTTAATTTTTATTACCAGAATTCTAAGTTCTGTCATTATGTATCAGTAAAGAAAAAGTTAAAGGTAAAGTGTACCTGTGTTTAACGATGTTATTTCATCTGCCTAGTTCATAGTAGATTTAGTTCTACGCATCACAACAAATTAAAAAAGCTCATGAAAAGCGTCTGATCCGACTTACAGCCACCTTTTCCCTTCCGAAATGTTCAATATGATGTCATACATTCGTGAATCTCACCCCACGCTTAGTACAGAAACTTCATAACAAATATCACTAGATTTATAACGTGGAGATTTCGCTGCGACCGAAGTTGATGAAAGACTCTGGGGTTACAAGCCGCGTCAGGTGGCTGAATGGTGAATGAACCAATTCTTCCGCCATTTTATACGTTTCGAGAGTTATCTCTGCTCTCATCCTCAGTGCGGCTAGGAAACGAATCTGGTCCTATGTAAGAAAGCGGAAGAAATGGTTCATTCACCATTCAGCTACCTGACGCGGCTCGTTGCCCGAGAGTCTTTCATCAACTACCACTAGATTGTTCTGTTTTATACTGTGAAAGCTAATATAAGATTAGGTAAGGGCTCAGGGAATATATATTAGAATGATTTAGGTTGTGTTAGATTAGGTAAGGCAGGCCTACATAAGATTAAAGCACTTTCCATTCACTGCAAATTTTCATTAACAAAGTTGGAATTTGAAATGCCAAACAGTAAGATTTAACGTTCTCACAGCAGCAAGTATGAAGATGGCTGCCTTATGGATTGCCTAGTACTTATAGACGTTTAACGACGTTTAATGGATTCTTGTTTCCTCTACTAACAGGGCGACGATGGTGGAGGCAGGCAACACGTCAAAAACGTCGATAACTTCTACTAGACTACACGGCTCTACAAAACAAAAGACAGCCATCTTCAGGTCCACAAGTCCAGCATTTGACGCCGAAATATTAATAAAGCTTCATAGGCTGTCTCACGCCGTGATTTTATAATCCGACAGAAACAAATACAGCAAAGAGCATATCAAAATCATTATTGTTGCAGTACTTTCATTACGCCTTAGATTATTTCGGATTGTCAATGATTGAGTTTAAAGGCGGATAATGGAACCAGCAATATATCCAATTAGATAGCTTTCAATTCTGTACCTCATTTGTTGGATATAATTCCATTATCAGACCACTTCAGTTATATCTGCAGAGATCGATGGCGTTAAATTACATTCCACTGCTTCTAGGCCAATAATCCTCGCTCTGATTTATAGCACAACGCTCCTCTTCCGCAAATGAATCATATTTTACAGAAATTTCTATATTGTTTCCATCTTTAATACAGATGCAGAAAACAAGAACACACTGAACGCTTTTAATTATAATATAGAAGATAGGGTAATATATAAAAGATAATGTGTTGGTTATCAAAACTCCAACATATTTAGATTCTTATGAAATACATTTCAATGTAGAGGGGTCCCAATTAACATCTACGTACACCAACATTTGTGAAGGAATCAAGATTTCTGCATGAAGACAAGATATGATGGACTGTTCGTGTGGTCTGCCTGTTAAATCTCCCCAAATACAGAAGTGATTTCTGCCACATCTTCCCGGGTAAGCAGATGGGCCGAACTTTACAAAATACTGAAGGCCAGCTCACCATACATTAACAGATACGGCCAACTTAAACAAAAATGACACATATTTTCAAAGGCATTCGTTTAGATTTTGCACATCTGTATGTCTGTAACTATATGTAAGGTAATATATTTAAAATACAAGCATATTATTGCATATAAAATTCATTTCTGCAGAATTAAATCACATCAAAGTTACAGGCTGTATGGAAATAAAGGCGCATTTTATTGTATAGCAAGTTTTTAAACGATGAGTGTTTTTAAAAATAATTGGCAACATTTAATTTGGTCTTCAAGTAAAGTAGACATCATACTAGATCAATAAAAGTAAAGTTCAAACTAGCCACATAAATATAATATTGAAATTCATATAAACTCACTCAGGTAGGCATGAAATACATCTGTCAAATTGTTTTTGAGATACAGCATATTATGTCTTCAAATATGGTGCACTTCGATGTGAAAATAACTATTCTGTGGAGCACAGTCCTTCTTTTAAAGCTGCTGGTCGTTCATATAGTCAATAAATTCCGTTGGACAGTTTTAGATATGAATTATACAGGCTGACAGACATGACCTCGTCATTAAGCTGACATTTTATGAAGCCTACTTTGTGAAGAAAAAGCATACAAATAAATCTCTTCACATATATTTTTAATTTAGTTACATTTACAGCCAATTTTATTCCCTAAATTTACTGTCGCAAATTAGTAGTGATACTAGAGTACCTAGGGATCAATAGGATAAGTGTAGACAAGCAAATAGGCTTTTAATGGTTTCTAAATAATGTACGGCCATAGCTGTGGCGATGTTTCATTTATGCACCACACGAAAATGTGACCTGTAACCACGTACATGAGCTCACTCTCACTCGGTCAACTCATTACATAAATAAGCCAACAACGTTTAATCTGGCAGTGCAGTGATTGCATAACTGACCTATGTTTGGAGTGTGTAAGCGTCACGCATATGGAAATTATTACATCCTTCCCATAAAGAATCCACTTTTTAATTCAACGGGCTAGTCTACATTCTTTTGTGTAAAACAGCCGGGGTGTGACTCTGACCATTCACCTCCACTGAGCGCCTAGGTTTGGCTCTAGAATAGGTGAGGCTTAAACACCGAGCCAACTTCTCCGTCACCTAAAGCTTCCCAAGTACTTTAAAAACTTTAAAATCAAACTGACAAAACTACTTGAATTAAACAAAGCAGTAAGCTTTTGGTGTGCAGACTTCTGTTAAGAAATTAAATAAACCTTAATCCCATCAGTATGACTTAAGAACACACTTGGAACATCGCTTAGGTACAAGATCAGGATTTCTTTCGCATCAATAAACGAACGAAATAGTCCGTTTTTCGTCAAAACTGTTCCCAAAATTAAGTGTGCTTAAAGAATGGAATTACGTACGTATTTTATGAGAATGTTACAAATACGATCCAGTTAAAAATAAAAATTTATCTAAAGTGCCGTAAACTGTATTTAAATAATAAAAGTGATAATTTATTATGGCTGTATATTTATTTATTCCTGTAGACCAATATTCTATTATGTTATGAATGTTGTAATCACCTTAAATTTGATTTCATTACTGAACTCCGATGAAGCCAGTCAACTGAATAAAACACCGGCTTTCCACAGGATTAAATAAATCAACTTGAAAAGTTGTAAAGCATACTTTATGGATACATTAAATGTTGTAACAGTAAAATAGCCATGAAATTGCTATCAACCTTTGCACCGCAGAGCATAATACTGCTAGGCTGTGAGCATATTGTTCAGCAAGCTAAAGGTCGCGGTTATTAATATGTGTACAGTTTTCTTCACAATTTCTGTTAAAAAATATGGAATCAAATATGTTACATAATACACATTACAGTTTTTAAAAAATGCAGAAATATATTTTAATTCTTTGTCTGTTTAGATTGGAGATAATTCCAGACATAGAAGGAAGCTACGAATACACTGAACAAAGGTGCATGGACAGCCAACAAGAGGTAGTCCTCAAACTTGGAAGTTGCAAGATAACAATTTTTCATCGTAACAAATTTAGCATTTTTTCAAAGTGTTACGCAGGGCCTTGGACTTGAGTGAATTTGTTTGGAAGGGCATAGGCAACGAAAGGTTTGAGATCAGAGACTTAATTGAAGTCCTCTAGGTACTTTTTGGCAAAAAGCAAACTGCTGAAGGGACAGACCTTTAAACAGGCGGATACAAACCCTCCAGAATACGTTCATTTCGTTCACTACATGCAAAGAACTGACAAAAACATAGAAATAATCGGTATTTCACAGTAATTTGTAGTTAATGGTTATGTGTTGGCGGATTTGTCAACGTTTCGGGGAATCTGAGTGTTCCCACATTCAGATTGAAGCGACTAAACAGCATCCTGGTGACTATTTGTAATTTAGGGTCACAAGGGAATTGCAATCTCTGATAGGAACAGCAGAGTTCTTCAGAACGTTAGCGGACTAGCCCAATACAGCCCACACTCACCACCCAAGAAAAAGGCTTAACGCATAACATGTGTTGGTATTACATTTGTATTATTTAATTTGATTTCCATATCCACTGCAATTTAGACAGCTCATATCGATCCAATAATTTTAATCAGTGATAGTGAAATCATGGTTTATACGTCTGAAACTCTTTAACATTTTAGTTTCACTCTAGAGTTTTTACAATCTGTCTAATACTTTCCAAGACCCATCAATTTCTATATTGTCATCGAGGTTTCTTGAAAGCCGTGTGCCTATTTTTTATTTCGACCTCGTACTGGTCTTTACAACTTCCACATCGGTTACGTTTTTGAGAATAAATATTTCCATATAAAACTTATGTTTTGTTCATTTACATACTGTAGTCTCTCCATATTTCTGCAACCACCAGGCAGTGGACAGTATCACAGTTAACTCCTCTAAAATAAATAAAATAATTGCATAAAACAGTTACGTTGAAGGAAGCACTACATACAAGATCTCATAAGTGGCCCAACAGTTACCTGACTTTGAGAGTATATCCAGTTGTATGGGGTCTCCGTCGTCCACCGAACCGACGTACTGAGCTGCCAGCTCCTGTAGTCTTGTGACATTCTCTTGGGGCTGGAAGCAGAGCTCTCGCAGAAACAACACAGTCCGGGAAGTGTGAGAACCACTTACAGCGGTTCTTTGCTCCTTCGTCATAAACATTTCCGCCGTCACCAGGATAAGTAGGCCAACCACAAGCACAAGAAGACAGTACCACACGCTGGTGACGTCACGAAGTGCCATGGAGTGCCGGCGAGGAGCCTCACTCAAAGCGTTTTGTTCCTGTGAGGTTGACAGTCTGCCTTCTTCCTCTTCATCTCGACAATTGCACGGCGGTCGCAAAATGGCGTCCAACTTACAGCTTTTTATTTCTTCCACTTCGCAATTATTAATTTACTCACAGTCCTCTACAGATCGATTAAAACTGCGTCAGACATTTGTGCATATATTGCAACATTAGAATATATATACTTATTTCAAGTCGAAGTACAAATCGTGTCTTAGAAAAATACTTTATCGCTGCCCACAAAAATTAAACATCTGCCATGTTCAAAAGGATTTAGTATTCATTTAACAGTGTTCTGACACCGAAGTTCGTTTAGGTTACAGTTCTTAAGAAATGAAATCCCCCAAATTAAATATGCTGAATCAAACAAATATCCGTCTGTCTCCTTTCTTCTGCATTATCATTCTTTGCCTCTGGAACCCTGGCTCCTTTGTTAAACAAGGTTTTGTTGCCTGCGGTCCACGCTGAAAATTACGGAGTTTCAGAACATGTGTAACTGTTGTGGATATTGATCCCGGAATTACCTAAAGTTTCTCTTACACCGCTGTAAAGTTTTCATAAATAAAAACTGGTTTGTGTTAAATTTGTGCTTATAACGTATTTTCTTCCCTCATTTGATACTGCAAGTTTCTCTTCAGAACTACCTTCGTAACAGTCATTTATAATCTTTTCATATGTAATATACCCGATTAAGCAATAATATTAAAATGATTCAACACGCATTTTCACTATGTTAAGTTCGTCTTCGTTCAAAACAGACATAAAAAGAAATCCTTTCATATGTTAAATTTACAAGTACGATCTAAAGCTTTTTTTCTCACAAGCAGTTCAGTAAAAATTGTTCTGTAAACTTCCTTAGCCACGAAAATAATTCATTGAAACGTATACGGCCTTCTTTCAAAACACGAGACGTAACGAATCATGATGAGAAGCTTATAAAGTGAGAACGTCATAAAACTTGACGAATAAAGTAGAAAATTGTTTTCCACTTCACTGATCTCTGACGGTTGATGTGTAAGTTCATGAAGACGCTCGCAGAAAATGAAACGAGAAACGAAAGAAATTCAACGATTCTTTTTTAAGCTCCGCAGTAAGGCAAACCAAAGGCAGCCCAGTTACTTGCCTATGCTGAATCTTTATAAGGAAGACGCAGTGGAGTGGAGTTCATGACGGTGCCTAAACACTATTTTCCTGAAATGACAAGAAAAAATAATAAATATGTTAAAATAATGGTTTCTACTTACAATGGTTAAACAAGTAAATAATTACAGAGGAATATTTACAATCTCACTAACAAGAATGCACAAATTCAACAGACGATGTCATCATATTATTTTTATTTTATCTCTTACGGCATACACGTATAGCCTGTTGTCTGTCAAGAACTCATCAAATCACTCTTGTTACATCACAAATAAACCTGAAGCCAATAACTGACTTCCAACTTAGAAAGTTAAATCAAATTAGAATCATAAAAAAGAAATTACTTTGGTAACATTATTTCAGGCGTATTTAAGAACATGTTGATACCAGATGGTATTAGGAACTTCAAAAAAGGAATTGCAGATATCTGTATATAAATTAAATAAACTATCACTAAGGTATAATTCAAAATATTTAGCAAGAAATTCTACTGGATAATCACATACTAGAACAAATATGAAATTTTAATTACCCTGAGTCCTGTATCTTTCGATTATGGCGAAGACACAGACAATAAAGTAGCAAATCATCAAATGATCTGCGAAACATAACCGATTGCAGTCAATTTTACAGTGTTAACTCATGTATTTTCTCGCCTAGAGGGACTAAAGGCCAAATGGGGACTGAGTTGACAGTTCCATCAGTAAACATTATCCGCCAGATTCCTACAACTTAAGAAACGAGTGGGGCCGACAGAGCAAATTATTAGCAGCTACTAATGTCGGCTTATTATTCTGGGCTGTTACATTATATGACATTTGATTTTTGTCTCTAGCGACGTGCTTCAACTACCGGTAGGTTCCCAGGGAATCTAAATTGAATTCGGTCCTCTGGTCTTAACTCTCTATCCGTGCTCCACCATCAGTCTCAATCCTGACTGTGCTTGTATAAACGGCATAAGTACCTGCTACAGTTCCGTACACCCGAGTTTCATCGATCCGTTCTAGATGCACACGTCAAGGAGATGACCCATGCAGACTACTCATCTGCTCTGTATTCAACAGACGACACGCAGTTCGGTTCAGTGACCAAAATATTGCATCTTTTGTGAAATACACGCCAGATTTCAATAGATTAGCCTCCCCGCCTTGTGAAAGAATAAAAGCGAAAAGTTTTACTCAGGTTTTGAATTCAGAAATCTAAATATAGAGGAGATAATAATAAAGTGAATTATAAATGAACAGAGTGTGAGTATGTAGATGGATTCAGCGGGCATACAGGGGTAATGAGAAGACGGCAATTAGCCACAGAATTTCAAAAGAGACGGGAAAGTTCATGCTATGCCGTGCGGCTCTTAACTCCTCAATAAGGACTCGACGATGTTTTATGAATAAGTAGATAAAACTTCGGGTACTATAAAAGACATACTCTCTTGAACAGCCGAGTAATCATAACAGTTTCAATATGGACTCTCCCTTATGTAGTTATTCCAAATTTTGAAAAGTAATACGAGAACACTAGTACATTAAGAATATGAGCATCCCCCTGATGACGAAGGCGATAAATACTTACGAAATGTCGGCTAGATTCTATGAGACAAATCGGCGCAACATTTCAGAAAACAATCATCATACTCGCTGCAGAGCGAACCTAAAATACTAAAAGTAATTATGAACAGAGACAGTGGTCTAGATTGGTGATCTAGCTTGGTTATTTGTTTAAATTTGATTTTTGCTTTTATTCTGTTTCCTTGTTTTGTTTTAGTATTTTTATTAGTGTTTTACATTGGTAATTTGTATTTTCTGTTGTACTTTGTAAAATATGGATTATACAATACATAGGACATTTTAAAAAATACCAAGTAAAAATAAATTATAACCTTGTAGTGCGACAAACTTTAAAACAACACATATATATCTACATTAGATGCAAACCTGATGTTAAAATCTCTAAGACAGCATTTTCAGAAATACGCGTGTGTCGCACTTAATCCCAGATTAATCGATAACTGCGGGTACTAACGTATTATTGAGAACAAACTTTACCTGTAAATGCCCTATAAGCAGCTTAACAGCTTACGTTTGAGAATATAAACCCATATTTAACACTTTCACTGATTTAAGGATAATGCTATCAGCTATAGCAGGGAAGTTCTTTGTTTACTCAACGCGAATTGCGGTATCATAAAAGCAGAAATCCATCGCCCACTTTTACCACAAAGCACGAAGACTATGTACCGATGTCTACAGAAGGCAGATGAAATTAAAGGAAACAGAACACGCACTAACTGATCTAAGATAGCATGTTGCGCCATGTTGGACATCTAACTCCATCAAGTAGAGTTCTTATTGGAAAGCCAATAAGCTAATAGTCTCTCAGCTATTCAAGAAATTCCCCGCCTTATAGAAGCCAAAGGTTCATTATCGTAATCACAAAATTCCGTCACTGGTATCTGTCCTGAACAAATTTAACCAAGATCACAAATTCAAATCTTAGTTTTTAAAGGCATTTTTAATATTATCCTTCCACATACATATAGGTGACCTACGTCTTCTCTTGTTTTAAATTCATATTTGGCTGAAATTATGTACACATTTCTCATCTTGTTCATGCCCTGCTTATTTATTTATTATTCTCATAGTTATATAATTTCCTGCATCCTCCTGTTATTTCAAATCTTCTAAGCTTAGTCTTTTGTTGCTAAACACAGTCGATCTATGTTCTTCCCTTAGGGCGAGAGACGAAGTTTCACTTCCGTTATTAGATGCTATCAACTCAAGTGCGTAGATGTGACCATGTTAATGTAAGCGTGCCAAATAGGCCCAGCTCTTTACGCTGGAAAAACTTCCAATATGCGTACTTGCTAAGGAACTGTGTACGGGCTGCTTTACGAATTTAGTTCGATATTAAAAGCATTACATTTTCCCATGTAAACATAACCAAGCCAAAATGGAAAAGATCCCCATTTCTTAGCCGAGGTGTAAGATGAATGGAAGTGGTCAACATCACGCTCCGCCCTCTTGCACCTGGAAAAAGATCCAGGTACCAGTTATGAGGAATTTACATCTTTATCTGGAATCGAACCCTCACCTATAACCTGTAGCCAATTACTAGAGGCCTTAATTATCTTAGCTCGCACTATCAAACTCATTGTTGAATGTAAGTAGTACTACAAAGAAGAGTGTCATTAAAATGAGGAACCCTCGATATTTACTTCGCAGACGTACAAGTTGAAACAAATTTTTCGAGTACAGTACAACCTCGCTATAACGCGGGTCGCGGGGGACAGGGGTAAACACGCGTTATAGAAAAATCGCGTTATTACGGGAGTGCGTCAGAAAAATCGGAAAAAGTACTGGACGTACTGTACGGTACGTACAGTATTGATAGACTACCGCCATTTAAGAGTATACCTACTTATTTGACTATGTTACGATTGATGTTTACGGAAAAAGTAATAAATAATTAATTTAGCTTGCATTTTAATATAATTTTGAGTTCTGTACGAAGGATAATTGAAGAACGTTTTTCTTTTTTTGCTGCACTGTGGGGGATGTGAGGTACCCGCATTATATCCGGAACCGCGGTATAGCGAACCGCGTTATAGAGGGGTTGTACTGTATAAAATTTCATGTTAAGTGATTCTGTTGTCACCAGGGTATGGTGTATCCTGAGGTTGCAGACGGAGAATACGGCCTCCACATACAGAAGATAATTGCAAATACGCTAAGTAAGAAGTCGCGTACAGCCGACAAGAAGTGGTCCTCCAGCTTGGAGAATAAGCGGTGAGCTACTCTCTTTGGTATGACGTACGCAACGAAAAAAACTTCACCGAAGATTATTTGGGTGTTTAAACTAACCAAGATGACAGGGGAGGAACATGTATCACGCATACGAAAGGTGAGAAATTCTTATCAGTTTTAGACGAAAAACCTAAAGTAAAGAAAATAATTCTGAGCCCTAGAAGTAAATGTGAGGAGAGTATTAAAATATATATTAAATAAATAAGATGTTACGGTGTGGACTGGATTCAGGCGGGTCAGTATAGGGAGCAGTAAAGTATGACCACGTAAAGAAACTTTAGATTTTACAAAACAAAAGGACAACTCCTGATTAGCTAACTGGTTTTGATCATCTTAAGAAGTTGTGTGATCCATGGAGTTAATCATTCGAGTAGACGTACTAAGGATAAACAGGAATATCCTCAGTTGTGACATTCGGACAGTTCTTTTAGGAATGTGACGGTCCCTCGCTGCTTTAATTCCAGTCTATTTCTACATCAAGGGTGCAGGTTTAGAAAACTGTGGAAAGTTCCATAACACTCACACTTTAAATCTGTTTTATACAAACTGGGCTTCAGGCAAAGGAAAAAAGATAAAGTGCGGCATCTTTATACATGAGGAGAATTCATGGAGGCCAGAATGAAAGAAGTGAAGCGGACACTTGACTCAGGAAAAATCTATGTAGGTAAACTGAGAGAATTCGCTTCCTACGCTTGCACGAAGGCATACAAAGCTTAGCTGTGACGTTGAAAGCAACATGAAAGGAAGTAGGAAAGTAGAAGTTCCGTTATTATATTGAATTCATGTTTGAAGATTTAACCACTTCTAATTTCTTATGAGTTATTTCTAACTTGTTCTATGAAGAAAATGAAAAAAAAATTCCTCGAAAGAAACTCGTGGAACGATTTGCTTTCCTAAGGTCAGGGATTCCGAATTCTAATGGACGATAAACACAGAACTACAGCTCAGATCCCTCTTAGGGAAAAATTCATACTTGCATGAGAGGTCCTGCGATAGAATGCCCACAGATACAGCTACTTTCTCACTTCCTGTTTCGCTCAACAAGTTTCCATGCACCTAGCCTAGCCAACTGCTAAAGGAGAAGAATTTTAAAAGTTCGAAGTTACAAGACATTCCAGATAAAACGAAAATTAGGTTCCAGTAATTTTCTATCAGAGAGACATAATTTCTGTAGTTTGAGATAATAGTATCGCCGAATGTCGAATCTCCTTTGTCCGGAAATGAAAACGGTTCTCGCCGACTAAT